TGCTCTCCTGCACCTTCCGCTTCGTCTTCATCGCGTGAGTGAGGCCGCCGGGGGTCGGGGGGGGCTGTTCCCTCACTCCCGGGGGGCAGTGGGGCCTAGCGGTGAGAGCGCCGGGCGAGTCCTGTCCTGGCTCCCGGGTTCAGTCTCCATCAGTAGAGCGGGGACCAGGGCTTGTGAGCCGCCGGGGGTCGGGGGGGGCTGTTCCCTCACTCCCGGGGGGCAGTGGGGCCTAGCGGTGAGAGCGCCGGGCGAGTCCTGTCCTGGCTCCCGGGTTCAGTCTCCATCAGTAGAGCGGGGACCAGGGCTTGTGAGGGCTCTGGGACGAGGTCTCCCCTGGCAGGGGCTCAGTGCCCCACAGCCTGCCTGGCAGTGCCCTGGGGGGGCAGCAGGGTGCCAGCTTCACCCACCCCTCCCCCAGGGCTTTCTCCTACACCAACCACTACAACCAGGACATCCGCTTCGACAACCTGTACATCACCACCTACTTCCGCCAGCTCGACGCCCGGCGCTGGAAGCAGGTGAGGCCCCTGGCTGGCTGGAGGGGGCCGTGGGGAGCCGTGGGGCTGAGGTGCTAGGCAGACAGTCCCTCAAACTGTCCTGCCCCCCGTCGCTCCTGCAGGTGGGTGTCCCCAGGAGGCGTGAGACGTCTTTGGATTCTGACGTGGGGATCCACAGCATTGTTCCCACCACGGGTGGCTGTCGGCATCACGTCCCGTGGACTGGCGTGGACAGGGGACTTGCTCCTGGGACACTCCATTCTGGGAGGGACTGTCCCACAGCCAGGTCCACGGGATTCCCCCCACGTGGGCCAGGGCTAGAGGCCCCAGATGAGGGTGGATTAGAACCAGGGCTGCTCTGCTAAACACAATAGAACAACTTGGGGTCACTGAAATGAACAGGCAGCAGGTTTAAAACAAACCAAGTGCACAGCCAACCTGTGGAACTCCTCGCCAGAGGATGTGGTGAAGACAAGGACTTGAACAGGGTTCAAAATAGAGCTAGATAGAGCCATGCTTAGGTCCATCAATGGCTGGGTAGGGATGGGGTCCCTAGCCGCTGGTGGGAAATGGGTGACAGGGAGGGATCGTGTGAGGATTCCCTGTTGGGTTCCCTCCCTTTGGGCACCGGGCACTGGCCACCGTGGGCAGACAGGACTCTGGGCTGGATGGACCTTTGGTCTGACCCGGTCTGGCCGCTCTGCTGTCCCCTCAGCCCAAGCCTGGGGTCCTCCTCTAAGGCACGGAGCCAGCCACACCGCCAGCAGGCGTCCACACAGGACCCGGCCTTCGCAGCCAGGGCGCCCAGGCGGGGCCGCAGGTTCCCAGCAAAGCTCCCACACGTAGATTGGCCAGAGAAGTGCTGCTGGTTGCTGGCCTGGCTGCCCTTCC